ATATGTATATGACATTTAATTTAATTTAATTTAGTTTAATTTAATTTAATTTAATTTAATTTAATTTAATTTTATTTTATTTTATTTTATATTATTAATTAATTTTAATTTTTTTTATTTCTTTTATGTTACGTTTTTTTATTTTATTATTATTTCTTTTATTCCTTTTTAATTTGATTTCGGTAAAGTTAACACTTTACCAAGAAAGTAGCATTATCTGTTGTACTTATGAACATTATTTATTGGCTTAGAAGAAAGACAACGAAATTGGGAACTGACTTTCTCCTAGTTTTGAGAATTATTGTTTCTTTTCAAATCAAATTGGATATAGTCACTATAACTTCTTCTTCTTCTTGCACAATTTTGTTGCATGTTACCCTTTTGCCGAAAGTCATTTATGTGTGTTTGTTTTGGTATTCCCGCACTATTTTTGAGGTACAAAAACCAACGACAAACAACAAATAAAACGTCTCAAAATGAAAGGGTTGTTCTTTCTTCCTAGAAGTAGCGAGCGAAAGCAGAACATTAACAAATATTTACATACATACATATGTATATATACATGCATTTGTTGTATCTATGCCTTAAAGATGCTTACTTATGTTTTGCTTTTCAAAACATAAAGAAAATACAACAACAATACAAAAAATAACTGACCGACCACCGACTTACCTGCTCGTGAAACTGATAGCCACTGTGCGTTTATTGCGGTCACATATTTTTTTATATTCGTGTGTACATATGTACATATGTATGTATCTACATTGGGTTTCAAGCCAGGAGTTTCTAAGCTGCCAAATTTAAGTCGTCAAGCCATGTCATAAGTCCGTTACTTTGCACAGTTTAGCCAATTAGTCAGTTTGAGTGGATATGGTCGTGAGCTCTTCTTCTTCTGGGGATAGTACAAGCAGAGGAAGACAATATGTATATGTATAATATGTATGAATGTCTAAAGAACGGTTTTTTGCTTTCTTTAAAGTATGAATAAATATTCTTTAAACTAGACCACACGCACACACCTTACCGTACATATGTAAGCAGATATGTATGTATGTCTAGTTTTGTGATTTAATATCAATTCTTCATGCTTTTAGAACACACCGCTCGGATTGTAGATACATACATATGTATGTATAATATATATCGACATTAGTCAAACCTCATTTCTATCAGGTAACTATCACTCGGTCATTCTTCAAAGGTAAACAAAAATTGAGTAACAACAAGAAAAAATCTATTAAATCACCCAACAATGTATGTATGTATGTATGTATGTACATATGTATGTACACACAAATATGTGTTGAATATAAAGCAAAGCAAAGTCAAGTTAAACCAACTTAAAAGCTGGCTTTTAGCCAAAAACCGATTACATATTTCACTTTCGCTTTCAACAAACTTTTTCGGAGAGACCGAGAGAGATGCCAAAATAGAGAGTTACTAACGCATTAAGGAGAATTCGCTAAATTTTTGTATACCCTACAAGTCATTTAACTATTTGGAACAAAAAATAAATGATTCCTTTTTTATATAAAATTTTTTTATAAAAACACGAAATAAGCAAAATTAATTATTTATTTACTTTTTGTAGCTGAAAAATTTGGCAAACAATTGAAAATTTAAATTTTTCTATTTATAAATTTTAAATTCAAATATATTTTATTTTTAAACAGAACTTTAAGAGAAATAAGAAGCAGCGCAGATCACAATACTAAAGTTAAGTTTCAAATTGTGTTGCCAGATCTACTAAATAGTCCTAGTTTCAGTTCGGCTATCTTTATTGGCAAGCAGCTATAAGTTTTTATTCGGTGACTATTCAAAGCCATAGACTGTATATTTCTTTGGTAAAAACCTTATTTTATTAGTGGATTATTTTTATGAAAATCTATTTAAAAAGCAAAAATATTTAATATAAATTTGGAAAGTATGTTGAATGTCATAAATTATTAAATTTATTTAAAACTTTTCGCATCAACAATCCCAGTGGTATGATGCTGCTGTTTCGGAGCGGTTTATTTAATATTTATTATTAATTAACCCAGGAGGTGTTGCGTAATGTTCACACAAACAAGTAAAATGAATAAATAAATATTTTTTAAGTTGAAGGTTCAATAATGGCATTTAGTCAAATTTAAGTATAAAAGTTACTGAATATTCTAAGTACGTGAGCAAAATGCCATGCCACTCTATGGAGTACGCTTTCTCTAGGGTTAAAATACTCCTTTCTAAAAATTAAAATTAAAAAAAATAAAAATATGTACGAGTATAAGCAGTTTAGTCCAAATAGTTTATAATCCTTTTATGAGAACTAACGATAATTCGTTTAAAAAGAAATAATGAAGTTTAAAAAGAGTTTCTGCTTAAAACTCGCTAAAATTCTTGGAGCAAATTAACTCTTCTACAAAAAATTAAGAGCTCGGCTGGAAAATCAATTCAGCGCTTATAAAGTGCCAATTATGTAAATACGTATGTGTATATATAACTAATTATTAAATTCAATTCTAGATTAAAAATTCCGTTGAGCAAAACTTTTTTGGCTTTTACATTTAGGAAATTGCAGTTTTTAAATTAATAAAATTCAAATTTAATTAAACCAGATGGAAATTTTCTCAAATAAGCGATATAAGCAAAGAATATTAATTAATAAAAGTATGGAAAATATTTTGTTTTTTCATAACCTTAATAAGTTTTTCTTCTCTGCAAAATCTATAAAATTTGCAAAAATAAATTTTAGCAAACTATGCAAATATTTTTTAGGTCTATTATTTTTTGTGTAAAATTATTGTCGTATAAATTGAAATCACTTTTACTTTCACGCATAGTATGAAGGGTATACATTTTATGCATGCTCTCTTATTGTTTACCTTTGCTTTTAACTGGTTTCACTTTATTGCCAAACCGCTCTATATGATTTTGCTGCTCTTTAGCTAGTTTATTGTTGTTGCTGCTATGTATGTATGTATGTGTATTACGGTTTGGTTACTCATGCAACGGCTCACCAAAAAGCCCTTTGAAGATGAAAAATGAATAAGTTTTGGTATATTTATTAATACACTCCGGAAATTACACTGCGTTTCAAAAGTAAAGTAACATAGTCCCTTATTTTTTTTTTCTCAGCACTTTTTGAATTTAAATATATTTTAGTTTTACGATTATTTTTACCAAGTGTTGAATAATATATAATTTGTGCTTTGTAACTGATGCAGCGATTTTCGGATGATTTTTTATCTGTGCTTTGATGTTTTACCAATAGATATAGTTACCTACAGATAGTTTGTATTAAACCGCACCCGATCGTCTGAAGTTTTGTATGTTGGTAGGACAAGAACTCGAACTCCAACTACTCGGAACGAAACGCATACATATTTTCCGTATCCTTGTAATTACTTATTTTCGTTGCAATTTTCCTTCACATATTTTTTAATGAAATGCATATGTTATACATATCTTATCTATTTGTTATCATGTATTACATAAAAAGGATTTTAAGAGAATTGGTTTTGGTTTAAAATTCCGCTAGTAGCTTTTCATAAGATTATTTGCTTTTATTTAAAAAAAAAATAAATAATTGAAATTCTGAGCAAAAGTAAAATTAGCGAGGGAATTTAAAAAACAAAATTTTCTGTTTAACTTCCTTGTATTATTATATTCATAATTTTTTCATTCGAAAAAATTGAGATTTTGCACATAAAAAGGACTCATTAAAAAAATAAAAACAGGTATGCGTTTAATACACGCAATTGTCTTATGCTTTTTCCAGTACCCAATATTCGAATGTTAGTGTATTGTTCCTCGTATTGGTCGTTTCGCAATTGTTTCTGCCCACATAAGAGCATACAGCACTTACTTGCATACAAACATGCGTTATATCGCTGAGCAGTAAATTGCTCTTTGAATATGCGTTCATGTTTCTTTGGCACAGCTCGCTCTCACCAAAAGCTTTTGTGGTTCATATGATTCGACAGAACGATGAGTTGGGGGCATACGGAAGAGGTATGTGCTTGCAATTCCTCGACAAACTTATCTACACAAGCATAACTATTGGTTATATGTATGTACATACAGATGTGTGTAAATTTCCATAAATATCAATATGTGCATTTTATTATGGAATAAGACTACACGAGTGTATATATGTATGTATGTTACATATATTTATATGCATAAAAGTATGTAGGTCTTTGAGTAGTGTTGTACATTTTATTTGGAGCATTGAGAGCGAGAGTGTGCCACCAGACCAAAGTGTTGGCAAAATGTATTACGATTGGTTGGGCGGTGGGGAGCGCATATCATCAAAAGCCGAACTAGTGGAATAGTATACGAATGTTATGTGTGCCATCGTACGTGCATACATATCCATTTAAATATATATATATGTATATTTCAATCAATTGCAATATGAATGCTGCCAAAAATTGCATTGCATCTTTGCAGCGCTGCGACAGTGTAGTTAGCATTGAGGCTCAAAAAATTGGCAGCGCTGTTGGCGCACCTGAATGAGATGGCCAACAGTTGTGTAGTAGAGTTAATTTAGTGAGAGCGCAAAAGTAATATGCATGCGCTAGTTTACTAGTTGATGACGACGATTATTGCGACACTGACGATGACGATGATGACGACGACGACGACGACGACGTTGGCGATGGCAGCGCCGTTGACAACATACGTACAGAGGTACGAACAGCGACGCTTGCTATTTAGTAGCTACAATCATATTGCTTTACGTACGGAGTACTGCGTGAATCCTAGCGTTTGCTTGGGTTTAGTCAATCGAGATTCGCGGTTGATGTTGGTCGTGTTTTCGGCAAAAATTTCTTCTACTGAACAACAAACATAACAAAATAACAAAGAGTACAGATATAAATACTAAATATTGTATAAAGAGTTCACCATATAGAAAAAATATTAATACAAAGCAACAACAATAAAATATAGTGTCAGCGTTTCTTACCTGCCTCAAGATTCAATTCAAATGTAAATGCAACAACAAAAATATTAATGTATGAAGTATGAAAGGAAATATTTCTTAAAATAATTGTCAAAAGGAATAATATAGATTTGTGGAAAAAAAATTTGAATGAAAAATATGCATGTGTTATACGCACAACAAGTAAAATGTAGAGTTTGCGACAAAGTGATTTTTTGAAACCAAAAGGAGTGTCTAATTCTTATATCAGTTACAAGTACTATTTAAATGGGAATGTCGACATGTAAAACAATAAAAAAATATTTTAACACAATATTTAAAAATATTATAATTTATTAATAGCTAGAATAAGTTTTCCAAAAATATGTCAAATAAAAAAAGCATACAAAATTATAGATCAATAAAAATAAAAAATATATAATTAAATATACTAATTAAAAAGCATAAAGATAACCAAGTAAAAATGAATGAATAAGTAAGAAAAAAATAAATAAAAATAATAGCTAAAAAAAATATAAAATGGAAATAGAAATAATAGCTAAAAAAATATGAAATTAAAATAAAATAATAGCTAAAAATAAAAAAAAATAAAAATAAAATAATAGCTAAAAATAAAAAAAAATAATAGCTAAAAATAAAAAAAAATAATAGCTAAAAATAAAAAAAATAAAAATAAAAATAAAAAATAAAGAGTAAATAATAAATTAAAATATATAAATATAGGATGATAGTTAGAAAATGAAACCATAGCTTTAAAATATAAAAACAAACAGCAAATGTAAAAATTGTCAGTTAAAAACTAATAAAAATAGAAAAAAATTGTAGAAATAAAAGATTAAAAATATAAAAATAAATTAATAAAAAAATATTCAAAGCATTAATAATATAAAACTTAAAAAAGAAATTAGTAATAAAAACAATAAAAATTTGTATTTACAAAATTGTTGATAATATAAAAACTATACCTAGATTGAAAAAAAATTAAATAAAAATTTAAAAAAAAATTATACTAAAAAACAATAATAAAAAATAGTAATAGTATATTTACGTTTAATAAAAAAATATAAATAGTTTGAAAAAAACTCTAAATTATTTTCTAATATTTTTTAATTGTTATAAGTTTAAAAAAATAATTCAGTACTCAATTAAAATAATAATAAAAGCTTGAAAGAAATACATTATTAAAATAAAAATAAACAAATAATTTATCTAATTAATAAAATTAAAAAATTAAAATATATAAATATAAGTATATAATTATAAATAATAAATAAAAAAATATTAAAAAATAAATTAATAAACATAATTAATTGAAAAATCAAATATATTAATTAATAAAAGTATAAAATATGTAAAAATAATAATGAAAAATATAAATAATTATTGTAAAAAAATAATTAAAACAAATTTGCAATAATAATTTAATAAAATTAGAATATAGAAAATTAAAAAAAAAATAAAAATATCATTAAACGAAATAATAAAAGATATAAATTTTAAAATTTTTAAAACGAAGTGGCAACTTATATATAAAAAATTAATTTAAATTAAAAAAAAATCAAATAAATTTAAAAAACTATGAAATATTTTTAAACATTTGTTTTTATTAATAACTATACGAAAAAGTGTATGCTTCTCCTTGTACAAGAACAGCACCGTGGATTATGTTCCTTGTACAAGTTAGTTGCTTACACTTTGTAAAATTATACAAATCTAATCATAAAATTCATAAAGACAAACTTTAAAAATTTTCAACGCCAAGTAAAGCCATAACTTACAATATCTTTCAGAACAATCTATGAATAAAAAAAAAAACAAAATTCAAAATAAATAAGCAACCGAAAGAAACCAAAGGCTTGCAAAATGATACTCTCGGTAGCGAACAACTAACTAATAAAAATTAACTCAAAATAAATAGCACCAAACCACAGCACACAGCGGAAGCAGTTAAGTCCGTGGCACGGCAAGCAGCAACACAGCAAGAAAGATTGAAACCACAACAACAGCAACTATAATAAAATTCAAAAAAAAAAAAAAAGTAATATGAAAAATAAATAAAAACAAGCAGTAACTAATGAAACCAACAACTAAATAACAAGAACGCGAACAAAATCGTCTACTAAGAAAGAACACACACAATTGGTCTATTGGATGGCTGAACATTTAAATAAGTGTTTTATTGTTGTTGCAGTAATATATATTTGCAAGAGTAACTGCAATTGCTTGGTAGCAGCTTGCAGCTAAAGCTATATGAATTCAGCGCCAATAAACAGCCAACAGTCAGCAGCAGCGCAAACGCCGCGTAAGCGTACATAGTTGGAGTTTCATACCAAAAGAATCGAGCGAAAAAATATTAAAAGAAAAATCGCAAAAATACATACAAGCTGAAATTTGTAAAAATTTAGATTCTTCCTAATATTATTCATGTTTTTGTTTGTGCAATAAAAAAAAACAGAATTTGGTGTACTCACTGCTGCGTCGTGTTTTTGAGGTGTAAATATTATAAACTGACAAGTGATTAAAGTGTTTTCTTTTTTTCATTGTTATAGAACATTTTCGTAAAACTATTTTATACCCATATACGCACATACATACATACATACATATGTGTGTTGTTCTACACATGTTTGTTTGATATTTTTTTCTGTTTGCACAACAACAAAATGGAACGCAGTGACAGCAGAACTACTGCATTGACAATTGAAAATAGCGATAATTGCAATAAAAACGCCAATAAATCGTCATCGTGGTCGTCAATATTAACTGTGCAACAAATACACTCTTTTAAAAAGCTTGTAAAATTTTAATTTCAAAATAAAAAAAATTCAACAAAAAATTATATTAAAAAAAATAGAAATAATTCGTGCAAACAAAAGTTGTATTATAAAAAAAACTTTTCTGTACAGTACAAGTAACAATTTTGTGTTAATTGGTGAAGTTGAAGGGTGTATGCAATTGACAAAGAGAAAATATTTAAATATATATATATATATATAAAAATTCGTAAATGTAAATAAAATTGCAAAAACTTAACTGAAAGTGCGTTAATTTTACGTAAAATGCGTGCATAAAAATTTTTTCAAGAAGCGCAAACGGCAAGTAACTACTTTTATTACAAAAAAAAAAAAAAAACACAAACATTAATTTGTTTTAACTAAATAAAGTAAAATTGAAAATAGTTAATTAAGTGTAACTTCGACCATTTTAGCCCTCATTACCACAAAAGAAAAAATTCAAAAAATTAAACAAAATAAAAAAAAGTGCAACTCTGTGTATGTGCCTCCCCTGCAATTCAAGTGCAATCTCCACACATAAGAAAAAGGAAAAAAACATAATTAATAAATTAATGCAAAAAAGTTTAGCGCAAAAATAACAGAAAAAGAACTAAAACAATAAAAGCAACATAGGAAAACTTGTGCCAGCTAAACAAGGCAAAAACAAAATCACAAAATAAAAAGGACAAACAGTAAATACATACATATATTTGTATGTATGTATTAAGCAGAAGTTTGTGTCTATGAAATCAGCAAACACTTCCCACCTCTAAATTGCGCTAGCTAGTGAAGTGTAAATGTGAAACGTTTCAAAGTATTGTTTATACATTATAATACATATATGTATAAGAAAAATTAAATTTAAAAATTATTTAAAATTTTTAACTGCAAAAGAGCAAACAACTCTGAAGGAAAACACGAGCAAAAAATAACGCAAAGGACAAGCAGTGAGAATTAGTGTTGATAAATCGAAATAATTAAAGTACCTGCATAGAAATATATATGTATATATACACATACATATATGTATAAATAAATAAGAGAGTTTATGTATATTATTGTTGTTGTTTTACGTGAAAGTCTGCGTAAACTTACTTATATTTGAAAAAAAAAATAAATAAATAAATAAATATAAAAAAATTTAAATAATAAAATATTTCTTTTCGTGCAGCAAACATAATGAAAGTGGCATCTAATTTCTTTCAATACATATAATTTTGTGCAAATTAAAAAAAAGAAGTTTTACATAAAATCTGTCGAAAATCATCAAAACAAGTGCATCATTGGCTACAAGCAGTGCAAAAATCAACAACAAACAACGCTTTACAACATTAAGAAAAAATGAATACATAAAACAAAAATTCATTGAAAATTTTAGAAATTAAAAATAAAAAACATCAGCAATCAATCAACCAAAACACCTCAGCAGCACCACCAAAAGTTAAAACGAAACAAAAAAATAATTTAAAAAAAAAATTATTACAAAAAAAATATTAGAAAAAAAATTATTATAAAAATAAAAATAATTATTATTATTATATAAAAATAAAAATTTATGCATATATAAAAATCAAATCAACGCTAGTTTATTAAATGTTAAAACAAAGTGTTAAGCCTTCTAATTAAAAAAATTACAAAAAAAAAGTAAATTAAATAAATTTCAAAATACCTTCAACAAACAAAACGAATTTAAAAGCATCAGAAAAAAGAATATTTCAAAATCTAAAAATATTTCTAATAATTGCAAACTCACGCTGCTACATATGCACGTAATTTTGTCACATAAGTGAAGTATTTTTTTTTGGATATCAACATTACCAAAAGAAAAAAAAAACAGTTTTACGCCGAAGAAAAGTGTAATAAAAATAAATAGTTTGCTGGCATTTAAACAGATGAATAAAAAAAATATATATTTTCTACCTGTTTTTTCTTCTTGTTTTATTTTTTTTTTGGCTACTGAGAAGTGTGAAATCACTACATACATACAAACAAGAGGCACGTAGTATACCAACAACATCATCAACAACAACAACAACGTCAACGCCGAAAACAAGCAAAAAAAAATTATTGTTTTCAGTGATAACAAGAACAAGCACAAACTACTACTTATCCATTGTTCAAGCCAAAAACGTCACGGTGCCGTAAGTGAGTTTTAAGAAAAAAGGGCATTGCAAAATAAATTATATGCTGTATGTAAGCAAAAACAAAAACAACAAAATTTCACAAACAGCGTAACTAAAAAAAAAAACAAAAGCAAATATACGAAATTGTCAAAGAAAGAAAATATATATAAAACAAACCTACGCTGTGTTTATGTGTATGTGTGTGTGTGTGTGTGTTTACATATGCATGTATGCATTTACTTAACAATTGTGTCAAAGAAGTGTTAATTTGTGCATCGTAAATCATTTTGAAACGTTTAACGTCAAAACGTTGTCACTGTTGTTGCTGTGCGCAAGAAATTAGTCACATACATAGAGCGGCGCAGCGGCGCAGCGTCACAACGACACAGTCATCAGTAACTGCATCAATCAACAGCAAACAGCAAACAGCGAACAGCAGGAACTCCTCAAGGCGTGTTATTATCACGCCCGACGCTACAAATATACATCCTTACATACAAACAAACAAACATAAAAGTAAGCAGACAAACGCGCGCACGCACCCAAATTAGCTACCAATTACCTAAAAATATTTAAAGAAGAACGCCTCAGCAACTCAGTAACTCAGCAACCGAACTATCTACCTACATACCCACATACATACATAACTATATGCCTAAGTACCAATATACCTGCGTTAGCCTTTAAAGTGCTTAGGCTAAACTGCCAGCACTGACCATATCTACATACATACATACATACATACCGTGGACCGCTCTGCCATCCAGCTATATTTGTATGTGTAACTAACTAGCACCGCAGTAGACATTTAAGTGAACTCGCCCTTGACGGTTGTGCGCGTATGAATTTGTATTAAATGTTTTAACAGTTAAACGCAGTGTATGATCATAAAACTCTACAGGAGCGTTAATAGAGCCAAAACAACAACAAATTGAAGTGATAATAATAACAAAAACAAGAAATCAGTTGTTGTTTCATCACATACACAAAGCTTCCGTTTTTCTTTTTTTTGTGGTGTTATTTTCGTATTTTTCCCTCCCGCCTACGCTACAACAAAGTACGGGCATTTTCGCATACATCCAGTATACGCGTTGTATACATATCTATATAAATGTTGTTTGCGCTGGACGCGTTGACCAGTGCAAAACACGTAATAGAACTTGAAAAATGTTATTAGAAATGGAACAACAACAAGCAACGGCGTCGTTCATATCGTCGCTCAATATGTCGCCCTTCACAATGCAACTGGATCCACAGCAGCCGTCGAGCCCGGCTTTGGGCGGCGCTGGTGGTCCAAATAATGTTCAAACAAATGCCAGCACGGGCGCAGCTGCCAATCGTGGCGCCAACGATGCGAGCGCATTGAGTAATACCGAAGCGGATTATAGCGCTTATGCGCTACACTTGAGCGCCGGCAGCGGCGGTGGTAATGCAAGTGGTGGCGGTGGCGGCGGTGGTGGCGGCGGCGGCGGCGGCAATAATGATGGCAGTGGTAGTGGCGCCGCAAATGCAGGCAACACACATCATCATCATCATCACCAGCAGCAACAGCAACAGCAACATCACCAACAACAACAACAACAGCAACAACATTATCAAACACAGCAATCGCAGCTGCAACAGCAGCAGCAGCAGCAACAGCAACAACAACAGCAGCAACAACAGAATATTGCCAACAATCCCAACTTTTCATACTCGTATATATATAATTTTGATTCACAATACGTATTCCCGACAGGTTATCAGGACAATACGTCATCACATTCACAACAAAGCGTCGGCGGTGGCGCTAGTGGTGGCGGCGGTGGTGGTAGTAGTACCAGTAGTAATGCCACCAATGTTGTTCTACTCAATGGTGGTAATCCAAATGCCAGCGGCGGTTATATGACACTCCTGCCACCAGCCACATCGAGTGGCGGTCACATGGGCATATCGTCCGGTGGCGCTGGACCCAGTCAGGGTGGCTCCGGTGAGGGTATTGATTTCAAACATTTATTTGAAGAATTATGCCCGGTGTGTGGTGATAAGGTGAGCGGCTATCATTACGGTCTGCTGACGTGTGAATCGTGCAAAGGTTTCTTCAAACGCACCGTACAGAATAAGAAGGTGTACACGTGTGTTGCTGAGCGTTCGTGTCACATTGATAAGACGCAACGTAAACGTTGTCCATACTGCAGATTCCAGAAATGCTTGGAGGTGGGCATGAAACTTGAAGGTGAGTGCAATGCATTTTTTATAATCTGAATTGTTTATATTGCTTATCATATTGGTAGGAGCATTAATGCTCAATATTTGGACCTTCATTATATCGGTATTTGAAATTAAGCTTCAGCTTTGTTGTCTAACGTTCGCGCTGTCCTCAATTCTTGCAACTTAGAGTTCCCTTACGAAATTTTTTTACAAACCAATTTAGCGTTGCTGAAAGGCTGACATGGGAAGTATTAGGCTCAACATTCTCGGTCTCAATATACAATAACATTCCCGGCGCTTTCTATGTCTACCGTCTTTCGTACACCAAACACTCCCTCTCAGGGCGAAAAGATGCATGCATCAGTTAATATTACTTCTTCGGTTAAAATAACTTTGCGAATTGTCACATATGAGGAAAGGGGTATGTTGTTGTTATTATTGTAGAGGCAAGTATATTCCCCGAAGTAGTTTTTGGGAATGTTGAAGGAGTGACAGTCCTTGGACGGACAAAAATCTGGGTCTTGCCGTTGCGGGAGCTTCTCGATTTTAGTCGAATCTTACGCCAGGCATGGAATATCGAAGAAAAATTATTGAACACCTATCTTGCAGAGTTATTTTTCTTTTTCATTATTTTAGTGGTCCGCGCTTGTTACTTCTTTCCAATTCTATGGTGTTCTTCATTCGGGAAGGGCATTCACACAGGATTACAACATTCCCTCCTATCCGCCTCATACCAATATGAGGAATCATTTAGATCTTCAACAATTTTCGGGTCGGTGAGTTGTTCGTCCGTTTCGACAGCCTACGGCATGCCGCGGCAGTTCGATCTAATTCCAATGAATGCCAGTACCAGAAGTCTGACTTGAATTTTAAGACTCTCTGTACGACACCAGTTATCTCTCTACAAGCTCTCCTAGCCAAAAAAAAGACAGTACGGCCCTATCTTTGGTTATCTTCTTACTACTTCAAAATTATCCATTCCGAGAAGTTGGTTGGTTGAATTCGAAAAGACCGCCTACAACTAAGAACTCATTCAAATTTCCTTATTCAGAATTATCGATTATACAGAGCTCAATCTTCCCCAAAAAAAAAGACTTCCAGCTCTTTCCATTCTATATTTCCCAGCACAAATCACATTGCAGCCAGTTTTTATGAAACTGCTTTACCCGTCTTTTTATATTCACCTCCCAATTGCAGTTACATAAAAACATAAAAAAAAAGAATTTAATCAATAATTTGTTTTCTTTGTTGAGACGCGTGTTTCCTACTACTGCCGGCGGCGCGGCGGTGGCGTGAACCAAGTGAAAGCGGCAATCGCGGAAGGGATTCCACAACGTTTTCGTGCTATTGCACCAGTCGTAGGCACATCCATTAGTTAGTTAGCTAATTTACAATATAAAGGATTTTGTTTATGTGAGTGTATTTCTGTTTGTGTGTGTGTGCATATCTCTTGATTTTCATGGAGCGCGACGCACACTATACGCTCTCAATCGTGGGCTTGGCACACACTCGTACATATGTACATATCTATGAGCATACACTTGGATACAGGACTATTTATTATACATTCACTTATCGATTCACGCTCTCTCACTGACTAGTAAATATTTGGTAGAGTTGACAGCACAGTACGTTGGGCCAGCTAGTGAGTCGTCTTTCGTGTTTTCGCTCTCTCAGTTTGTAGTAAAGTAACATGAAATTTGACATACTGTGCTACTGACAATAGCCGTGAAACGTTTGCCTACCGAATGGGAACGAGGAAATGTAAATAGCGAGAAAGAAGAAGAGTCAGATTAACATATTTTATAAGAATTTTAAGAACAGTTATTTTTGGATTCAATGCTTTTTCTATACAAAATTTATGGAGTTCATAAGTGTTGAATAGTTGCAGCCATGATGTAAATGGCAAGGAGGTCCTTTAGTTGCTTAGAAGTTAAATTAGAAAAGATTTAGTAAGTCTCTAAAGCTTTCCAGGGCTCGTCCCTAGAGATAAGTAAATTCCAATGGCTTCTACATAGACTACTCTTCAAGCTCTCTGTCAAACCATCACACAAGTCTGAGGTATTATCTGTCACTACTGAGTAATTTCGTAAATGTTGTACCATAGGTAGAGGGTTTCTAGATGAGATATTCTCAGGGAGCATACAAACACAGTAGCTTAGCATGCACCTGCGGGGTAGGGGTTCAAGAACTTTCCCACAGATAAGACATCCTTCTCATAAGAGTTAGGTAAAATCTAAAAATTCCCGCGACAGAAGGCTCTTTATACCAGAACAACTCGGATTATTATTCGGCCAAAGACTGTCACTCCCGCAAACTGTCTCAAAAACTACAATAACAATAAGAAGGGATCAGCATGTTGAAATTCTGACCATGTCTCCCAAGGCTCTTTGATTCGAATCCATCGAAACAGGTCGCTTTCTGAACTGCCATTGCCTATAAACTATGTGGGTAGCGTTTCTAGAGAGACGGAAATTCTGATAATGAGCGTGCTTGAATTCAGTATGCTCCGTGAAGATCTTTTGGCCGCTTTTGTCCGAAAGCAGCTACAGGCCTTCACATTAAATCTCTGAATATCTCTTTAGGGCAACACAGATAGCCCGGGTCATATTTTGAACATAAAGCATTGGTTTTAACGGTACGCAGTAACAGAAATCATTAGCCTCTAGTGTATCTCTGACAAAAATAAAAGAAGAAAAATATAACTTTACAGCTGAAGCACCCGTTGAGAGACGGTCTGAAAACTATAAGTTCCTTTAGATGGAAGTTGGCGTCCGTCCATTTGAAGCAAGTAGAGGTGTACCTCGTAGCACATTAAACATAAAGCTCGAAGTTCTAGTAAAGTCTAATAAAACCGTCGATTTTCATTCGTATTCCTCGCCGGCGACCAGCTTATATTACTTTAAGCTCTCTGGTTGATCAGCTCCAACCGCGAAAATGAGCCCAGCTGATCTGGTGCTAAATACAATAGTTCTCTCAAGCTTAATCTCAGCCGGAGGGTTATTTTTGAATAATTTATGAGCTTCTTCTGGAAGTCAGCGTTTGTGCTGCAGTTTTCGTACCCTTTTCCTCCCTTTTATATTTGTGTAACTGTATGTTCACAAGCCTTCCACAATATTTTGAATATTGTGAATAAAAAATGAAAGTGAAATGATTTGAATGAATATAAAAATACCTACACAAGTGCATACACACGCTCACACGCACACCTAGGGACCCTACTTTACCCAGAAAAAAAGAGAATAATGCATAAATAAATAAACTAAATTTTCATATGATAATAGGTAAATATGCACGCTTCACAACACGCTACGAAGCGTAGGGAGGCGACAAAAATGTGTTTGTGTCTCTCAAAACTCAAGTGCGCTCACGGAGCCGACGAGCGAGTGCCGAGAACACTGAGTAGAATATTATAGAAAGTGAAATTAACACTCAACCAGGCGGTGGGGGGGTGGTTAAGTACGTTGGTGAGCAGCGAAGCGTCGAAAAGAATGCGAAGTAAGAGACAGTCAAAACCAAACCGAAAAAAGCACAACTCAGCAATCCTGTGGGAAAGACTGGTGTTTGTGTATGCAAGCAAACGTGTATGCGGCATTACGGAAGACAATTGCCAGCGCCCGACCTATCCCAAGAGCCACCAAAACAGAAACAGAAAAAGCAAAATATATTAAAAAAAAAAACAGGAACAAAAAATTAAAGAGAAAAAAGTTACTGTGAGCGACGAAGCTTGCTGTCTAGTGCTATACCCCATAAGTGGCATTATCGTAACTGGCTATGTGACGAGAATGCTTCGATTTTTATTAAAATTCATACACATAAAGACCTGTATGTACGTATGTATGTAAAATGTGTGCTTTTGGCATAGATGTATTTTTTATTGAAATATTTTTAACGCTTATTGGTTTTCACAAACGCGTTTGTCGCCAAGTAAAAAAAATTTGGGGGGTAGCATCAGACCAAATTTAAATTTATTTCCTATCTACTGAATATTTATATGATTTTTGGAGACCCTTTAAAGATATCGCGAACCGATTCGTACTTTATTATAAAGATAAATAAAATGTAATGAAATAAAACAAATCAAATTAAAATCAAACAAAATATTTAAAAAAATTAAATAAATTAAACAAAACACTAACANAAATTAAATTAAATTAAATTAAATTAAATTAAATTAAATTAAATTAAATTAAATTAAATTAAATTAAATTAAATTAAATTAAATTAAATTAAATTAAATTAAATTAAATTAAATTAAATTAAATTAAATTAAATTAAATTAAATTAAATTAAATTAAATTAAATTAAATTAAATTAAATTAAATTAAATTAAATTAAATTAAATTAAATTAAATTAAATTAAATTAAATTAAATTAAATTAAATTAAATTAAATTAAATTAAATTAAATTAAATTAAATTAAATTAAATTAAATTAAATTAAATTAAATTAAATTAAATTAAATTAAATTAAATTAAATTAAATTAAATTAAATTAAATTAAATTAAATTAAATTAAATTAAATTAAATTAAATTAAATTAAATTAAATTAAATTAAATTAAATTAAATTAAATTAAATTAAATTAAATTAAATTAAATTAAATTAAATTAAATTAAATTAAATAAAATAAAATAAAATAAAATAAGATAAAAATAAATAAAATAAAATAAAGTAAACCGAAATATATAATGAAATAAAATAAGGTATAAAAGAAAATCAAAATGTAATAAAAACAAATGAATTGAAGTGAAATATGATGAAAACAAAAAAAATTGGAAAAATTTCGAATTATTAATTGATAATTTAAAAAGTTTTGCTGAAAAGTTATTTGAAGAAATATTTGGCTTTGGACGGTAAAATTGCTTAAAAGAATATAAAATTAGCTAAAATATGCATTTAATCGGCTCCGATAATTATTTATTTTAGCATTTCCTCACATTTTCGTTACTTAATTTGTTTTAAATTTAAAAATTTCATTTCGACACGTTTATTTCTAATTTTTCTATTTTTTTTTATTATTTTG